GGTCACCAAAGACACACTCTCTTTCCACATACACACTTGCATTATCTTGAGTCTGCAGCAATTGTTATGGTTATCACATCCTAAGAAATCTCCAAATGGAACATCTTAGGTTCAAGCCAGAGCAACTTGAACCCTGTGTCATGTTTATGAACACCTGCAACTTATATGACATCACATCCATTTGAACCATTCTGATCCATCTATAAATTATTACAGTATGGTCTCAGGCTGTTGCCCCCTGAGTACACATTTGATCTGGGTCCATGGGGAACACTAATTTATGTGAACTGAAGCAACAGCTGTAAATGCACTGCTAGTACTGTAAGAGTGTTGAATTTCCCTTTGTTTCCTATCAGAATTCAGATGGTTTATCTGCCCTATACTTTGATGGTTGTGAGGTTTCAGAGCAATCTTCTAAGGGCCACTCCCTGAAAGTTATGCCCATCAGGTTCTATGAGAATGAGAACAAATTCCTTGTTTCCAACTGACAAAGGGAATTGGATATTACTAGTAAATCCATTTGTCTTTAGTCTCTACACCAGTTGCTGTAACTCATAGTTGTTCAGAATTAATGAAGTGTGGAAAAAACGATGAACTTTCCCCAAACATACTGTCTCCATAGCACTGCACAGGAAAATAAAGAGATACAGAGAAAGGACACTAAATAGAAAACCAACAAATTGATCCATGGTATATATACTGGTATCTTGGGGGGTCATGACAGTGTCTATGATGCTGTTTATACACTCTCATCATTGATCTTTTTCCAGAGTCCTCTAACTGGAGAGTCAGACCTGACCAGCTTCATGACTTATTCTTCACTGACACTCTGCTGCCGCTGGTCTACCTAAATCTGTCAAATCAATGTGTGCCTTCATTCTTTCCATCTTCCAGCCCACACACATTATTGTATAGGATGCTTTTGCCAATTCAGTTGAAATGTTCATACACTGGACATTATGACCCTCAAAACACAGGACATTTTTTTAATTGGTTTCACAGCTAACCCATAGGAAATCAAGACTTAAGCTCAATGTCCTGTCTTGGGTTCTACAACACCATGCTTGAGGGAGTCACTACTTCTCTCCTTTTTTTCTTTTGGTCAGAATCCTTAAGCCTCTGGCAGGGTTTGCTGCCCCAAGAATGCATTGTGTATGTCACAGAAGTAACAGCAGCAGCAGCAGCAGCAGCAGCAACAATGTGTGGGAGCTTCTGAGATTGGAAGAGTTCCAGACTCAACCTATATCTGCTGCATCCAGCAGCAGCTCTTTGTTTTTCATGCCTGTGATGCACATTCAAGCTCCAGAAGCACCGAGATAAAAGAAAGGTTCCCAGTCCTGCTCTCCAATCTTGATCCTAGTTTTGCTATTACTGTCCTGATCATCTCTGCCTCCTAGTATCCACTACATTCTCACCAACTTCACTATCACCCAAATCTCTAGCCAGTAACTTCCAATTCCTTATCATGCATGAAGGAGAGTGTTTTTCCAGAGAACGGGAGCAAAATACACTTATGGCTCAGTTCACACCTTTCTGAGAGAATGACTGGTCTCTAGAAATGAAAAACCAACCAAACAAACAAAAACAACAACAAAAACAATGAGGAAATAACCTGAACAGGAGGTATAGACGTATGTGAAATGCAGTTGATGTTCCTCTAAACCTGTGCTCCTTTATAGACTTGCTCTTGCTTTTATCATTTCTTCTAAGTGTTAATATGGAAAGGCGTCCATATTTTCTAGATTAACAGAGTAGTTTTTGTGTACGCCTCAGTAGGGGACCCACAGAACCAGTCCCCATTCTTTCAAAAGGGAAAATGACATAAGGATTGCCAGGATAGTAGCAGAGATGGCAATTGAACTCTTAAGTGTTTGTCCTTGAAATTTTCCAGACGGAAAACTCTTGGAGCTGGAAAACTAATAAGAACGTCAGGATGTATTCCTTTAGTGACTATTTAAAATTGATTCTTATTATAAAACATCTACTTGAGAATGTACTGCACTACAAAGCTAAGTGGTGTTGATATTTTTGCCATCATAAAACTTATAGAGACATAGTCTGGTCAACCCTGAACATTATACCAAATTACTCACAGGGCCATTTTATACTACCAAAAAGGAACAATATTCTAATATGAATGACCTGAGTCATTTTAATCACCAAAGGACAACATATATGTGTAGAGTGATAAAAATATTATTATAACCAGAAGTTGACATTAAACTATTTAAATATAATTTGTGTGTAAAATACTGATGGTCAGCTCATGTCATTTAACTCTTTGATTTCAGTGGAACTCATATTTAGTGGAACTTAGAGGTATTCAGTTTAGAAAAACCCCAATACCCAACAATAACTCCATAATATTTGAATTAGAATCTCTAGAGGTATGAGGAATTTATTTACTAAGTTCCCCAAGTGATTCTGAAGATATCAAGTTTGGAAGTCACAGCAATTATATCAACAGTTGACTAAGATGGTATAACGGGAGAGGATGATGATGAGTGGTATGGAAGGGGGTAATGTTGGTTTTCATTAGTATTTTAATAAGTGAACGTTTTCATTTTTCAGTACCACCTTGATTTAGAGTGTCTTAAAACTCAGCTGTCTAGCCTCTGTGTCTTGAGGCCTCGAAGACGTCTGTAAATGTGGAAGAATACCTTCTATTTCTATTTGACTAGGGTATATTCAGAATTTAAAACTAAGATTTTCCTTTCACCATAAATTTTTTAAGAAGAGCAGTGAAACATTAACTAGATTGAGCCAGACAAAACAGGAACTGCAGATGTTATGTGAGCAGCAGGAAGGATATGGGCCTCACACAGCAGCTCACAATTCCCAGGCAAAAGCACGTTTGTGGCACATAATTATCATTGGTATATTAGTTTCTGACACATATGATGTTACCAGAAAGAATTTACTGCAATTATGAGCCAGAAACTTCAGCCATAGAGATGCATGATAATGATATTTTGGTTTTGTATGAAGAGTTATTTAAAGGGGGTGCATGGATTATGCTATGCATTTTAGAGAAAATAAATGATTTATGTCAAAAAAAAGTTAGAGAGTTTGAGTTAAAAAGAAAACATGTGTGAAAGATAGGGAGATTGTATATTTATTTAGTTAATAACTCATCGATTAGCACAGTCATTCCTAATATTATTCTGTAAGAGAGACAGGCTCATGGCAGTGTGTCTGCTTCCACTGTTAGTGAGAATGATATAGTTAGCAACAATGACAGAAACACGGCTTCATAAATGAAATGTGAAATCACCAATCTATGCGGGCAGGAGGAGATTACAAAATTATCTTTAAACTGGTAATGAACAGTGTATTTTTCTACTCACATAAACAGATTATACCCTGTTCAAATTATGTAACTACTCACTCATTTATAAATAGAGGAACCTGAGACTGGGCTAAAACTCAATAGTGCATTTTCCAAGTATGTATGAGCTCTGGATTTTACTCTTAGAACAAGAGAAAGATAGGTGAGGAGATACAGAAAGTTTTCATTTTCCAGCATTCAAAATATGTGGTATGTGGCTCTAAGTTTATTGCTCAAATCTTTCTCCAAGTTATGCCAGCTAACTTGTCATAAAAGAGTCAAATGTTATCTCCACCTGCTTAAAATGAGGTCCGTGGAAACATTATCTGAGATGAAAGAAGATTGGTACTGGTGTATAGTCTCAGCCAAATACCTATAAAACAGTGAGGAAGGCAGAAGCAGGTACAGAGAGGGGCTGAGTAACAAGCAGCATTAAAGGGGACTTCTGACAACTCTCCTAGGAATTCTGGGCCTTTAATTGACATTTTTGACTTGATCCAAATAAGCCAGGAGCAGGCTTTGTCTGCACACTTAAGTCAGGCAGCACTCAGCCACCACCACGATGGGGGAGGGTTAGGAGAAAGGCAGTTTCTTGAAAGACTTAATTGTGAGAACCCATCAGTGTACATACCAGTGTGTGCACTAGCCACAATGAGAGAATCTGTACCACTGTATTATGTACCGATCATCCCTCATCCCACTTCAGGTGAAGTGTCGAAAGGTTGGCACATGGACAGACCTTCCTCAAGTACTGAAAGGGTCAGTGGAGTAAATTTTTCTCAATGTTAGAATTTATCTCAGGATTTAACTGTTATTTAGCACACACCAACCTCAATTATCTTCATGCTTAGCTTGTGATTTTTTGTGTTCTTATCAAGAGATATAACCCAGACCCAAATCCCAGTGAATACTATTCCTTTTGTAAATCATTCCTAGTCTACTGTCTGTTTACTATTAAAATAATTTTAAAAAAATCAAAAGATGTACCCTGAGAACCATCTGACATCAACTATATATTCATGGCTGTATACACACACACACACACACACACACACACACACACACACACACACACGTACACCCATATATGTGTATATATCATTCATTTTTTCATGATACTTGCATTGGATTGCCATTGCTAATAATATTAATTCACTCTGCTCCGGCTGGTCTCTTGGCATAAGGAAATAGGTAGCATATGGGACTCTTACTGTGCTCTCTCGCAAAAATGTTCTCCTTGGGAACAAGGGTCTTTTTATCATAAATCCCAAGGCTGCAAGATACAAATCATTACAAAACAATTCACTAAGAATCATACTAGTTATACATCCTAGGCTCATCTACTCACTGCTATAATTTCTTCACTAGGGTAGATTCCTTGTGTTATAAGCTTTACCATGCTCCTCATTAATCCATATAGTAAATCCCTCACTACTAGTACTCAGGTTTATGGTAATATATGGACTCAAGGCTTCAAAAAGGCGTTTAATTTAAAATGAAGTCATCTGGGTAGTTTTTAATCTGGTCAGATTTGTGGCCTTATAAAAACAGGGACTAGATGACACACAGAAACATCAGGACATGCATATACAGATTAAGGACTATGTGAGTATACAGGAGAAAGAAGCCTTCTACAAGGCAGTGAGAAGGTTCTCTGAAGACATGAACCTACCTATTTGTTGATCTTGGAATTCTTATGTCTGCATTCCAGGCTGTCAGAAGATAATTGTTATTGTTTTAGCCACTTAGTCTTTATTATATAGAGTAATGCACAAGAAATAATAAACTTGCTATATTATACTGTTTTGATTATACTTTTACTTGATGTCTTGTTATACATCGTGGAAGGTAGAAGCCCTCTAGTAGTAGTGTTGGCAAATACTTTATGTATGAAAGGCAAATGCACATACATAATGGGTGTCAATTCCACTTAAAATGGTCTGTTTGTGTTTAAGAATCTCTAATTTCAGTTGACATCACTTGGTATATTCTCAGGTGATTTTGTGTGTGGTTATTCAGGATTGATGTCAGGTGCTAGCAAGATGGTTGGATATGCCCCAGGACAACAGCTAGATCACATGTAATAAGTGGGAGTCCACATTATAAAGCCCTTTCATAGGTCCTTCCATATTTCCTCATGTATTCAGAACTTTGACACTGGGCAGCCAGTACAGAGTCAGGCTGAGACATCCCAGCCAAGTGTACTAAACAGTCTGTTCGATATATATCTCATTGGTAATAGATGTCTTTTGTTGGGAGTTTACATACCATAGTGCCAAAACAGCAAGACAAGACATTCCTGTTGCATTCAGACTCCTTTAGATCTGTTTCCATGCCTTTCTCCAGAACTGCTCAGCCTAAATCTTTAAGGCTTTTGCCTTAAAGCCCCCTTTGTGATTGGCAATAATAACCATGAGTCCATGTATATTCTTATCCTGGTTTATTTTCCTACTTACACCAAATAGATGAGTGAGTAATCCCCCATGCGTGCTGTACCAACTCTGATTAAGACTGACTGACAGTTCATCTTTATCTTTCATTGATGTCGTGGGCAAACCAGCAAGCTGGACTTTTATTGACCAGTATCTATTTTGTGTCAGAAAAGATGGTAGAGAGAGACTGTATCATCATTTACATAGGTTGCTAGTGCCCTCTGGTTCTGCCTATACCTGGGATTACCTCTGCTTTATACACTTTCACTGTTTGACCTGACAGACATATGACATGACTTGTCATTAGAACATTGTTGAAGATGAATATTTATGACCAGCGAGGCTAATCATTTGGTGGTTCCTAGTTAGGCCTGTACAGAATCATGGTTGCTGCTTTCTGAATTGTGTGTCATTTGCTGTTAGAGCTTCTTAATCTTAATATAGCAATCTTTGCTGCTCTAGGCCCAAATCAAATCAGTCAGTCAGCCTTATACTCCACCAAGCACACAAGTTTGGAAAATTATTCATTTATACAGTCAAAAAATATTTTCTCCAGTACATGAAAAAAAGTCCCCTAAATTGTAATGTAGAAGGCAATATATGCTATAATTTGTCTCTTACATTGGAGAAGGTATCTTGGAATTCCTCAGACCAGGACTCCCTCATCATTCTATTAATGGAAAAAGCCCTCAGTGGGCTTTATATTCCACTCTGTGTGATGCATGAATCTTGACACAGTATGTGCATCTATACCATTTAGTTATATTATCACGATGTCTTCAGTATTTCTGAACAATGTAACTTGTCAAACTGACAAATTCCTACAGAATAATCCACTGAGCTCTGACCACTCAATAGTTTTTCCAACTAAAATTCAAATGCCACCACAATCCTCCTAAAAAAACACATGATCAGGTCTGTCATAGCAATACTCCAAGAAACTGGTACCAATTCCTATCTTAAGAGTTTCTGTTGCTGGTGATAGAACACCAGAACCAAAGACCACCTGAGAAGAAAGGGGTTTATTTCATCTTCCAATTCCACATCATGAATTTTCCCGTATTTCCAGTTAGCAGATGTTGAACCTTTTTGGCCTCCCATCTGAGTTCCCAGAAAGTATATAGCAGAGACAAGGGAACCATTCTCCTTAAGCAAATTTAAATAATTTCTTAAGTCTTTGATAATGCACAGCAGAGCAATTGCAAAGGAAATACAGATCCATAAGTGGAAAGTTTCTACAGCAAGACCTATGACCCACATCTCTGACTGCTTACTTATGATGATACTCCCTCCTTGCCAATAAAGTCTTTGTCTTTCTTAGAATTAGGATAGTCATTTGGTTGTGCCATGGAACAGAGTTTCTTGGGAGGTATCCTTGGAGATATTTCAAATAATCTAATGGATTTCTAGATTCTAGAAAAATCAAAAGCCAAACCTAAACCAAGTAGGCTGTAAGAAGTACAGAGAAATAAGAATTAGAACAGAAACTAATAAAATATAGATGCAAAGAATAATATATAGAAGCAATCAAAGAATTGGTTCTTTATCAAGATAAACAAGCCTGAAAATCTCTTTATAAATGTCTTAGTTAGGGTTTCTATTGCTGCGAAGAGACATCATAACCGAGGCAACTCTTATAAAGGAAAACATTTAATTGAGGTGGCTGCATACAGTTCAGATGTTCAGTCTATTATCATCACAGCAGGGAGCGTGGCAGCTAGGAGCATGGCATGCAGGCAGACATGGTGCTGGCTACATCTTGATCAGCCAGCAACAGGAATTTGAGTCTGACACTGGCAGTAGCTTGAACATAGGAAAACCTCCTAATAGTGCTGTTCCCTTTGGAGGCCATTTTCTTTCAAACCACCACATTCTACTACCTGGTATCCAAGGGCTTATAGACATAGTATAACGTAAAAATGCATTCACTCCAACTTCAAAAGTCTCCATAGTCTATAACAGTCTCAAACTTATTTCAAAGTCCAAAGTGTCTTCCGAGACTCATGGCAATCTCTTATCTGTAATCCCCTGTAAAATCAAAATAAAAAAAGTAGGTCATACACTTCCAACATATAAGGGCACAGGATATACATCACCCTTTGAAAACATAGGGAAGGGAGTACAGTGAGGAAATATTGGATCAAAGCAAGACTAAAAATTGGCTGGGCAAAATGCAAATTCTGTGTCTCTGTGTCTGATGTCAAAACACTCTGCAGACCTCCAACTCCTTTCAGCATTATTGGCTACAATACATATCTCCAACTCCTTTCAGCATTATTGGCTACAGTACATTTCTTTCTTTTGGACTGGTTCCACTTGTTGTTAGCCTCTCCCCATGGCAGGTATCCCACAGCTCTGGCATCTCTAACATTTTGGGCTCGCCAAGGCAACCCAGGCTTCAACATCACAGCTTTATGCAATGGTCTCTTTAGGCCTCCATTCAGGGACACCCTGATACATGCCTGGCCTAAGCAGCTTCCCTCATTCTCTGGGGCAAATTCCACAGCCCCTTTCTTCTATCCTTAACTTCAGAATCATGTGGCAGAAGCTACCAAGTTCTGCAGCTTACTGGGGCTGGAACATGGCCCTTTGTTCAATTACATCTTTACCACCTTTCTGTCCTTCACTGCTCAAGTTTGGCTGTCCTGAAACTGGACCTGTAGACCAGGCTGACCTCAAATTCAGAGATACACCAGCCTCTGCCTTCCCAGTGCTGGGACTAAAGGTGTATAACACCATACCTGGCTTTAAGCTTAAATTTACATTTCACAGTTGGGAATTTAGCTGGGTGGGATCTTGTCCAGAAGTTACTACCCCCTTTATTCTATTTCTTAATCCATTTATCTTCTTGAACACACGAATTATCTCTGTTCCACTTCCTGATGCCTCCCTTCTCAATCTGTACATTTTTAGTTTTATTTACTCAGCTTGCTCCTTTTTGTTATAAATCTTCATTAGAGTTACCACTAATAACCACACATCAGAGTCCATACTAGACTATTCTGAGATTTCCTTTGCCAAAGGAAATTAATCTAAACCGTTTTGCTTTAAGTTTAACCTCAGGTAGACTCTCCTGACATGGGTAAATAGCCATTACATTCTTCACCAAAGTACCACAAGAATGATCTCAAGGAAACATACTAAAATTTTTCTCCTCTGAAACCTCAAGCGAGCCCCCACAGTTCAAATAAGTCATAGCACCACTGTCTTTTATGGCCATTTAAGCAGTGCTTAAAGCATCTCACTGCTTTCATAATCCAAAGTGCTAAAGTCTACATTCCTCCAAACAATAACACGGTCAGGCATAACAGCAATACCTCAGTCCCTGGTACCAACTTCTGTTTTAGTTAGGGTTTCTTTTGCTGTGAAGAGACACCATGCCCATAGCAACTGTTATAAGGAGATCATTTAATTGAGGCAGTGGCTTACAGTTTCAATGGTCTAGTCCATTACGATCTTGGCGTGGAGCATGACAGTGTGTAGGCAGCCAGGTGCTGGCTTAGTCAGAATCTTAACCAGCATCTTAGTCAGAAGGCAACAAGAAGTCAACTCTGATACTGGGAATATCTTTGGCATAAGAGAAATCAA